CTGAAGACTTGTCCTGGACAGGCTCCACTTGGGCCCATCTGGTAGGCACAAAAGCAGCCCCCAGATGGCGCTTTTTTCCTGCTGGAGCGAGGCAGGCCTGGAAGGCTTATTAGGGAGGAGGTGGCTGGGGTGCAGATGCTCTAGAGGTGGGACACCTGGGTTCGAGGCCCAGTTCTGTGACTCATAGCCTGGTGACTTCAGGCACGGCCATGTTCTTCTCTGCCTTGTTTCCTCCTCTGTCAAAGATGCTTGGGCCACCCGATCTAGAACATTCTGTGACATGATGCCAGACATTCAATTCTCTGCAAAGAGCAGTCAGGGATCCAGGGAGATCTTGGAAGACTTCATAGAGGAGGCATTCTCTGAGCTTGAAGGATGTGTGCTGAGTTCTGGATGACAGGGCAAGGCACTCCACAGGGAAGGACCAGCTCACAATGAGGCTCTGAGGTGTGGACATTCCTGAGACATCACTCACTGAGGGTTACATAGCCCTCTGCTCATTCCTGCCATGTCCTTTTCTCAGGTTGATTTATGAGAAATCTATGTGTTAAGTTGGTCAGTGCCTTTTATAACACATATTTGTCATTTTTGCTTGTGATAGGCTTGATAAACAGCAGCATAAATAATTTTATGTTGGCATATCTTCTGGCCTTTTCTTTCCTGGTCTTTCTTGTCCCTGCTGTTTGTTGCTGTGCCTCCAGTCTTTGCTCTCCTGTGCACACATTGGGTGCTTAGGAAATGGCTGACACGTGAATTAAGTTGAAGCTTGAGAAACTATAGCAGTTAGGGAAAATGGACGCCCTGCTGCCTTTGCTCACTGGCTTCATCTCTGGGCTTCCTCCCCATCCCGTCCATCTGCTCATTCCTTCCCGCATGGAGCAAGGCCCAGCCCCAGCCCACAGAGTCTGTGACCCCTCTGAGGAATGAGTCAGGGGCTGGGAGGTGAGATGATGGTGTGGGCCAGAAATTTCTGACTGGGCAATCTCCATGTACTAACTGTTGAAATCCCATCAGGACCCCATGAGAGATATATGATGATTAATCCCATTGTTCAGGTGAGAAAATGGGTTCAGAGAGGTTGTACAACTTACCCAAGGCCACACAGGCAAGGACAGAGACAGGATTTGAACCCTAGCCTTATGACCCCAGAATTCTACTTTCAAACTCCCCTCTGATACCCATTGCCCTGGGGATCAAGTGTAAGCTCATTAATACGACTTCTGGGGCCTGTGAGAAGCTTGGTTTCTTTGTCTGTTGATATAATGCCTTGGCCCCTGCACATATCAGGCACTCCATATATTTTCTCCTTCCTAGATATTAGGGTGACAGGATATGCCCTTTCTGTTCTTCCCTTCTCCCTATCCTCAAGTCCCAAATTTCTTAGGATTCTGGAATGTAAGGGCTTGGCCTGCTGCAGACCAGCTCCCTTGTGTATGGAGAGAAACAGGGAAGAGCCTTGCCCAGACCTGCTGTGTGAGGGGCAGTGCCAGGAGAGGAGCCCCACCCTGCACCAAGGTCATTCTCAGTGATCCTGAGACGGGGCTGCAGCCCTATCTGCCATCTTGTGTGCAGGCCTCAAGGGTGCTCTCAGTCAAAGGGGCAGAATTGCATTTCAGGGAGCTTTTCTGAGGCCCCACTGTTCCCTTCAGGAAGTCCCCGTGCCCCCCTGCTGGGTCAGGCATCTCTGGGTCCCCAGGGATGAGTCAACCATGCTGTGACTGCTGGTTTACTCACTGTCCCCCTTGCTCGCCAAGGCTCCCTGTAGTCCACCTCCACATCTCTGGTGCCCAGCTGAGCCCAGCAGTGAGCAGGCCCTCATGGAAGGCTGACTGTAAGAGGGAGGCCCAGAGAGGGACAGAGCTCTCCTAGGCCACACAGTGAGATGGAGCAGAGCTGGAAGCCCCTTTAAACTCCCAAGACCTTGTAAGTCCCACCTGCTCCTGGGACTCAACAGGGCCCAGGGATGGGGCAGTGTCTATAATGGCCACCCTAGTGGAAGGCACCCAGAGGCCTATGTCCTTTGCTGCTCCCAGGGGCCTGGGGCCAAGGACACCCTGTTTCTCTCCTGCCCCCGCCCCTGTGGAAGGATGTTCTCAAGATAAAAATACTCTCGGAAACATTTCCTGGTGTCTGGTGTGATCCGTTGTCCACCCTGGGGCCAGAACCTCTTGCCCTGACTTCACCTTGAGGCTTAGAGGGTGGATGTCCACCCTCCCTGCCGCTCCCAATCTTTCCCTGGGGTCACTGTGCGCTCCCCCCTTCTTCCCCAACACACACCTCATGGAACATGAAAAGCCTGAGGGGTTGTGGTCACTTGTGTTTGCTGTGACCAGCACTTGCTGAGTGCAGCTGCCAGCCCTGTCCCAGGCACAGGGGAGCAAGGCAGTGGATTCCTGCCTGGGCAGACCCCACAGGCATGCTTTGCTGCCTTTTGGGGTGCACTCAGAGAGCATCACACTGGGCACATGGGAACTCAGGGATATGCCAGCTTTCCTTCCTGTCGGGAATCCCCACTTCTATTCTCATCAACCCGTGCCAGTTGTCAAAGCTGAAAACCCCTCTCAGAGACCCTAGGGGGCAGACACTGGGACAGGGTTTCTGTTTCCCCCCTTGACAGTTTCCTGTGCTGCACAGATCACCCTGTTTTGCAAATGAGGAGACTGAGGCCCAGGGAAGGGCCCACAGTGAACTGGGAGTGACCAGGCTGCCAATGCAGGGTGGGGTACGCCAGGATCTTGGGCCTGCCCACCCAGGGAGGGCTGTTGTCAATGGTGGTGACAGCTGTGCCTCCTGGAGCCCCGCCGTGCCAGGCCCTGTGCCCAGCATACTCCTCCCTCACCATCTTGAATTTCACGGCACTGGCTGGAAGGCCACAGACTCATCAGCCATTGTGTGGAGGAGGAAGCCAGGCCTCAGGAAGGGGAAGTGCCTTGCCCTGTTTTCAACCCCCCTACTGGGGTTTTAGTTCCAGCCCTGGCAGATGGGTTGGCACTGGGTGGAGGAGCGGGAGGCCCTGCCTTCATTTGCTGGGAGACTGTGGGCCAGTTGAACCTGTCTGGGTCAGGCCTCCCCTCTCTCCTCTGTCATGTGCAAACTCTGCTCCCACACACCTGCCTCCCTGTCCAGGACTGTGGCCATGGCCCAGGAAAGCATGTAGTGTACCTCGAAGGGTTGAGATCACATCGTGGGCGCTGAAGCCACTGCAAGGTGGTGGGGAGCTCCCTCAGCAGCTTTGTCCCTTGGGCAAGTCACTTCACTGCTCTGAGCCTCAGTTTCTCCCTTTTGTAGAATGGAGCTAATTTTGTTTCTCATAAATGAGAGCAAATCTGACTGAACCTGTGGGTCTGGAGAAAGTCCCTTCCAGGAAGCAAAGGGTGAGGAATGAGGTGAGAGAGGCTGGAGCAGCCGGTGACCGGAAGGAGGGGAAGGGCAGGCTCTCGGGGCTTCTTACCCTTATCCCTTAGCCCCAGTCTTCTTGGGCTCCCCCTTGCCCTGCGGCAACAGCACACCCCCTCTGCTCAGAGTTCCTGCTGGGGGTGGCCAGGGGCAAGCATATAACCTTTCTCAGTCTCGCTTTCCCATCTGTCTAGCGGGCTGTGCAGGGGGGAGTGCCAGAAGCCAGGCCAGAGCATGTGGGCCACTCAAGGGCCAAGCGTGGTCAGAGACGGAGCAAGACCCTGCCGTGGCGAGTCCCCAGTGTGTGACGCGGGTCTGAGAGTCTCTGTTTCCCCACCGGCTTTGAGAGGGAACAGGCCGGGAGGGGGAAACCGCAGGGCCATGGCAGCTGCTCGGAGAATGGAAAGAGGGATGGGAAGCAGAGCCCGAGGCTGGGAGCCTGGAGGGTGAAGAAGGACCAGCGAGGCCATCCTCTTACAGAGCCAGCAGAGCCAAGAGAGGGGAAGCGACCCCACCCCCACACCAGGTCACACAGCTTGTGAGGAGCAGAGCTGGGGTTTGAAACCAGGTCTGTGTGCCTCTAAACCCAAAACTATCGCCCACCCCAGGAGATTCATATTGTGGAGGTGACTCACCAACAGTTGTCTTCATCTCAGCCAGAAAACCCAGTGCAGCAGTGGATTATAACCAGCCTCTGCCATGAAAGGGCGGGGTTCTGGGAGGTGGAGGAAGGGGTAAAGGGCACCTCCATTCAGCTTTCCATTTGGAAATTTGCAGAACTCCTTCCCATCACACTCTCCCCTGATCCTCACAGCATGATGGAGGAAAGTAGGGGCCCCATTGACAGATGGGAAAACTGAGGCTTGGAGATTGCTGGGGTCACAGAGGGTGTGTGTGTGTTTGTGTGTGTGTGTGTGTGCGTGCACGCACCCAAGGCAAGTTTCTGACAAATTATGGATTGCGTCCGCTCATAGTCGGCCATCCACCCACCCACTCATCCATCTGTCCATCACCAAGTACACACCCATCTATCCAACATCCATCCATTGGACTATGCATCCACCCACTCACCCCACTCTACCTGCCCACCTATCCACCCATCCAGCCACCCATCCTTCTATATCTGGCTTCTATGGTTAGTGGGTGGCATTGGGGAGACTGCACAGGTGGTGGCTAGGAGCACAGACTAGCACAGTTCCTCTGTGGCCTTAGGAGATTTACCACAATACCTGGTCTGGAATAGGAACAGCAGCAGTGTCAACCTTGTTGTTGTGAGACACATGTATTGATGTCTGTAAAACCCCCCCGACAGTGTCTGGCATGCATTTACCCTTGATAATTTTCAGCTGTTATTTTCTCTGGGGCCCCATCCTGCTCTGCCCTGCTCTCATTCTCAAAGATTGCTATAGACAGTCTCACCTGCTGTGAAGGTGTCCGGGGCATCACAGTTGGGAGCTGGGGGCCCACTGCACCGCCCTTGGGGCACTGGGGGAAGCAAGTAGAAATGGGGGTTCATGTGGGAGTTTCTGGCCTTGGAGCCTCCCTCCACCCCCAAGGAAAAGGACACCATCTACAGTGACTCAGCTTTGCTCTGTCAATTTTAGGGTCTTCCAGTGACTAGTTCCTTTCCAGCTGGTGCCTGGGAAATGGCAGCCTCTGCTAATGCAGCCTTGAAGACAGCCGCTTGTCTGCTCAGCACTGTTACTTAGAAGATAGGATTCAAGAGGTAAGACTAAAGTCACTGATGTGCACCGATCTGTCTAGTCATTCACTCAACCCACCCACCATCTATCCATCTACCACTCTCCTCCCACCTCTCACTCACCTGTTACCTACTCACTTGAACCATACTGCTCTCCGTCTACCTATCCACCCACCTCTCCCTCCCTTCCTCCCTCCCTTCTATGCATCCAGTTATCTATCCCCTCACCCATTCATTAATCTATCTACCCAGCCCATCCGTATGGCCACCACCATCCACCCACCTGCCCATCTTTCAGCCCCTTTATCCATCCATATGCTTCACCACCCACCTGTGCTTATATCTGTCTCCTCGTTCACTGACCCATCTTCTCATCTATCCTTCTCTTCAGCTGCTTTTCCCTCATCCTTTCATCTGCCCAGTGAGTATTTCCTGGAGACCCCTCTGTGCTGGGCTTGTGCTAACCTCTCTGGGTCTCTGGGTTGACCAGAGATGGCACCTCAGCAAGGTCAACTCTCACACAAAGTGAAAAGTAGCTTCTAGTTCTCACAGGAGAAGTTCAGTGCTGGAGAATCCCAAAAGGCTTGGCTGATTCATTACAGAAGGGGAGATTTCCAGCATTCTCGCTAGCTGTGATTTGGAGGTTGGACCACATGGGTTGAGGGTTGCCACAGGGAAACCCACCAGGAGCCTGCTGCTGTGTCCAGACAGGCGTGACCTGGATGAGGAGCAAGATGTTATGGAGGAGTCATATTGGCCACATGGGGCTATGGGACATCCAGGAGGGGAGAGGTGGGATAGGGGTCTATGGAGGGGCTGCCTGAGACCTGTGAGGAGGGCCCAGGAGACAGAGGTTCTTGTAGTTGTAGGGGGTGATTCCAGTAAGTACTGGAGAGGAGTGAGGAATCGAGACCAGGAAGGGAAAGAATCAACATGGGGTGTGTGATGGATGAATTCACTGGGGGGGGGGGGTGACTGGAACTTGATCCAGTTGAGGAGCCAAATACCAGTATGAGGGGTGCTCTAGAGTGTTCTGTGGCGGGGGGCAGGGACCTGCCCTCCATTTATTGAGTGAAAGCTGCTCTGGGTGTACAGACTGAGCTCCCATAGCCAGAGAGCACTCTCAGGAAAAATGACTGAAAGAGGTGGTTGGAAATTGGGCAGGTGAACCCTAAAATGGGGAGGGTCTGTCTGGGGTCAGCTGGAACACTGACTTCCCTCCTCCATAGCACATACCAAATATTGTTACTGATTTTCTCTCTGTTCTAGAATGGGAGTGGCAATACACTGACCTCAAATGCTTATAGGCCATGGGTGTGCACTGTGGGCTGAACCACTAAATATCTATAAAGGGGAAGAAATTGGGCCTAAAAAGATGGCCAGGAATGAGAGATTGTCACCTTTTCTACAGATTGTGAGGATAGTATCACTCTCCCTCCTAATCCTCCCATCTCTCCTCCACCCCAACTCTTGGCTCTTCCTGAGCCAGCCCTGGCCTTCTCACTGGCCCTGGCCATGCCAGCATCTTCTGTCTAGTTCTGCCTGTCACTGCTAGACTACCCTGTCTTGCTGTGGGGTCCTGGCCTGCCTCTCACCTCTTATGTGACTGAGCAAGGGAGCTGCTCTTGGAGTCTGTCTCCCTATCTGAAAATTAAGGATTAAATTTTTCAAACTCTGATGCTACATCTGATGGATTAGTGATTAGGTTAGAAAGCCACTGAGGCCAACCTTGAATGCAGAGAGGAAAAGTTCTGTGATGGAGCTGAGACATAGGCAGAGGTGGATGGATTAGTGATATTTGCCATGGACATAGATGGAGATGGAGGTGCACACTGGCTCTCCCTAAGTTAAGTGATTTCTTAGGAGTCTTCTAATTCAAAGACTTGATCTGAAGGTACTGAGTACCATGTCCCAGTAGGGGTTGAATGGCCATGTGACAAGGGTATGGATCCAGTTCTTACCTCTGCTTCCGAGTGCTGAGATTCTTGGCTGTTTGTATGTCTTATCACCATTTGGGATTCAAAGGGCCTTGAGGATTGTCCTGCTCACTGGGCTTGGGGCCTAGCAGAGAGAGGGGGCTGATTTTGCTGCTACCTCCCAGAGTAGGAGCTCACTCCTTCAAAGGCTGTGTGACTCTGAGCGCACAAAGGCTTCCCTGGGGGTGAAGTAGCCTTTTCTAGCTCAGCTAGTTACCCCAGTGCCTCTTCTCAGCAATGTCCATGACCTCTGCTGGCCAACTTGGCCATTCTGGTACTAACTGTTGTTTTGACCTCATCCTGGCCTGTGAATTGGTTTGTGACCTGGAGTGAGTCAGCCTCAATTTCCCCCATCTATATAATGGGGAGCAAGCCTGCCTCCTTGCTTGCTATGGCTCTTCCATAGCAAGTGACTCAATTTATCTGAGGTTTCATTTGATCATCCGGAAAATGGGATAATACTCATAGCGTGTTGAAGGGATTAATGAGTTAATTGGAGCTTTTAACAGTGCTTGGCAGTAGTAAGTGCTCAATAAATATTGATTGCTATGCTCATACCTCTGAAGGGTTTCTGACCAGCTAAAAGATCTCTGAGGGAGGGAGACCTCAAGCTGCTCCCCACTGGGCCTTCTCCATTGATCCTTCCAGTCAGTACTTTCTCAGTAGCTAAGAATGTGGGCCCAGGCCTTGACCTGGTCTCCTCCCGGATGTCACCGAAACCTGAGGTGCCCAGAGCCTCAGGAGACTGGGCATGGGGTGTCTTGCTCCATCCGGAGGCACCTCCCGGTGACTCTTGGGCCCCACCCTCAGGTCATGTGGCAACTGCCTCTATAAGCTCCCAGTCCAGGCCCCATCTGGTGCTTTGACCACTCTGGATGACGGGAGGCTGTGTCTACAGGTGCTGTGCTGGTGGGAAGTGGACTTGCAGGCCAGCAGGGCTTGGGACAACTTCACCATCTCTCAGAGGTTTCTGGGTCTGTGCTCTCCCTTGCCTGTTCTCTGCCTGTTGGGCTGGCTTCCCTTGGGGTGAAGTAGCCTTTTCTAGCTCAGCTAGTTACCCCAGTGCCTCTTCTCAGCAATGTCCATGACCTCTGCTGGCCAACTTGGCCATTCTGGTACTAACTGTTGTTTTGACCACATCCTGGCCTGTGAATTGGTTTGTGACCTGGAGTGAGTTAGCCTCAATTTCCCCCATCTATATAATGGGGAGCAAGCCTGCCTCCTTGCTTCCTATGGCTCTTCCAGCAGAACAAATTCACTCATTCTGTTTCTGTTCTGAGCTCACTGTGTGCACTTGCAGTCCCCTGGTTGAGGGTATTGCCCCATGTTTCTTCGTGAAATCCATAAAGACCATAGAACTTTGTGGCCTTGCCACACCTGTGTGTGTGCATGGAGTGTCCTTGAGACATTCGGCAAATTTGTGTGTGGGGTTTCTACTCAGGAGTCCTCTTTTGGGTCTTTGTGGTGCTATGTTCACCAAGTGCCCAATGTGTACACTCAGCACAGCGGGGACAGGAGAGGCTGAGGACTGGACCATACTCGGGACTTTGACTCTATCCCTGTGTCTTAGTTTCTGGGTGACTTTGTTCTGAGTCTCAGTTTCCAGCTCTGAGAAATGGGGAAGCAGAGCATGAACAGACTTTTTAATTTTGTGGGTGTTGACTTTGGGGTCCAGCAGCCCCCCAAGATCCTAGAAGGGGCTTGTAACCTGCCTGATCAGGTGGGCTCCACCCTTATGGTCTCCAAGGTGTTTGGAGCACAGGTCAGTCATTCCCACACTGAGACTCTGACTCCACCTGGTCACACAGACAAGGGCTGATTTTAGGAGGAATGTCAACAGAAGAGGGGGTTCCCACAACTGTGTGACACCCCCTGGGTGGGTCTTGTGTCAAGGCCAAGCACAGGAGCTAGCCAGGTGGGAGGCTGCCAGGATCAGTGCAGATGATGGGGGTGGGGGCTTTCCTGGCCTTTGATTTTCATAATTCTGTCCCCTGCAGGCCCTGAGCTGCCCAGAGCACGAGCTGGAGCAGCCATGACCCGCTGGACATCCCTGAAGGCCTCCAGGCCACACAAAGCTGCCCCCTGCAGTCCAGCAGCCTTCCGCAGGCATTTGAGTGCCCCGACCCTGACCACCTCCCCCTGGAGGGCCAAGAAATCTGGGACTGAGCCGTCTTCCCGGCACAGTCCCAGGAGTCCCCACCACCGCCGGCACTCTGCTTCTTGGTCCAGACAAAAGCAGCATCCACCACTACGGCCTTCTGCCTCAGCAACTCAGACCCATGGTGAGGTAGTCAGCTGTGCAGGGAGGATGGCAGCGTGTGGAGAGGCGTCCCTTGCAGAGCCTGGGGTCCCCATGGTAGTGGGAGACCTTGCCTTAGACAGAAGCAGTTTGCATGTCACCTCTCCTATTTACTGGTTGTGTGACTGAGTCTGAACCTCCATTCAGAGTATAAGTAACGCTGGCAGGCTACCTGCTCGGGGCATTGAGAGGATAACCTAAGAGCCTTGGCTGACATGTCTGGCTGCTCTCCTGTGGTTTCACAAGCTACCTCTCTCAGGCATTAAAAGCTGCAAGTACGTTATATCTGACAGCTCTGGGGTCCAGTAGTCCCGCCAGACCTGAGGAGAGTTTGCAACCTGCTTGGTCAGATGGGCTTTACCCTTATCTGTCTCGCAAGTATTTGGAACAAAGATCAGTCACACCTCCATGGAGGCTCTGACCATACTTGTCACACAGATAAGGGCTGAAGCCCAGTGTTGCCACTCCCAGGTTTCCAGCCTCAGGGCCTTGACTGTAAAAAGCCACCAGAGGGTGCTGAGGAGTCTCTGAGAGTGGGAACAACTGCCAGCCCAGGCCACGGTGGATGCCTACCCACTGTGGGTGCACAGCCCTGGCCCAGCTGCTCTGGGACCTTCTCCTGTGGGGTTTCAGTGTTTTTCATGTGCATGTGTTCAAGAGCTCTGACCTTGTCTAATTCTGACTTCAGTGTGACTGGGTGGGGAGGAACATGCCCAACTCCTAAATACCCTGCCCAGGGCACCTGGCAGTCTCTCCTTCTTCCCAGCCCAGTCTCCCTGAGAAAGCTGAGGTTCTGTGCATCCACAGTCCTTTTGCTGATGGCCAGATAGCTCCAGTATCCACAGGGCCAGGCCGAGCCACACCCCCCCAATCTGCAGATGCCTCAATCTGGCACTGGCAGTCTGGCCCTGGGGACGGGGAGGCAACAAGAAGGGGCGGCTGCTGGTACATGTGTCCAGGGGCTGAATATGTGTCTTAGACTGTGACAGAGGATCTGTCCTGGCTGTGGTTGTGGCGCCTTGGGATATGCCTTGGGACACCTGGCATGCCTGAGTATGTGTATGGCTGGCCAGCCAGGTGCCCTCTGAATGAGCTGAGGATGGTGATACTTTCTAGTGCTCCTCACCTGCTCCTGCTTAGAGACTTTAAGGCAGGGGTTGGGGAGGTCCTGAGACTCAGGTTGGCCAGTAAGTGACCCCTCTTGGGTGACAACTACCATTCCCTTCCTGGCCACTGCTGGTGATAGGGAGGCCATGCGTCTAGTGTTTGGGAAGGAGTGTGAATGTCAGGAGTGAGGTGTCATGCCAGTTGAGGATCTTCAGGGCCAACTCCTGTTCTGAGCCCTGGGGGTGAGACACCAATGAACAAGATAGCAAGCTTCCGGTGCTCTGAGAGATGCAGTGAGGATGATGATCAAATACCACTCCATGTAGCAGCTCTGTGTCAGAGGTCAAGACTGTGGAGTGACTGGGCAGGGTGCACAAGGGAACCTCTGGAGACTCCCGTGGCCACTGGAGGTCAGGCCTGAAGGAAGTGAGGTGGCAGCAGAAGCTTGAGGGAGAGTTAAATTCAGGTTTGAGGACCAGTGGAGGTTGAAGCCAGATGAGCAAATGGGAAACTGAAGGGTGAGACTTGAGGGTCTCAGGCTCTGTTCTCTAGTGCTGGCCCTGCGACTCCAGTGGGGACTCTGAGTAGAGAATGGACAGACAGGCCTCTGTGGCTGCCGAGGAGACTGGGGCTATGTGAGGAGCGGAGCTTGTGAGGTGGCTGCCATGACAGTCCAGGTGGGCAATGTTGGGGACTCAGGCTGTAAAGGTGGGAGCAAGGTGGGATTCTAAATATATTTTGAAAGCAGAGCTGTAGGTGGGAGAGTAGGAGGAATTGAGGGCGAGTTCAGAATTTTGGCTAGAGCTCCTAGGAGGCCAGAGTGTCAATTTTCCAAGCTGACAAGGGCTGGTGAGGAGCTGGCTTAGGGTGGGTAAATTTAATCAAGATGTCCCCCAGTCATGTCTGGTCCAAGGGCCCTGGGGAGGGGACAGAGGTATAGCCAGTGTGACCGCCACCACCCAGCCCTTCTGACCTCTCTGTTGCAGGAGCGGCCCTGCCTGGAGCTGGCCCGGGGGCGAGCCAGGGCCTCTCCGCCCCCGGGATGACTGCAGCCGGCCGGGCCAACCCCTACAGCATCGTGTCATCAGAGGAGGACGGGCTACACCTGGTAACCATGTCGGGTGCCAACGGCTTTGGCAATGGCAAGGTGCATACTCGGCGCAGGTGCCGAAACCGCTTCGTCAAGAAGAATGGCCAGTGCAATATTGAGTTCGCCAACATGGACGAGAAGTCGCAGCGCTACCTGGCCGACATGTTCACCACCTGCGTGGACATCCGCTGGCGTTACATGCTGCTCATCTTCTCCCTGGCCTTCCTTGCCTCTTGGCTGCTCTTTGGTGTCATCTTCTGGGTCATCGCGGTGGCCCACGGCGACCTGGAGCCAGCCGAGGGCCATGACCGCACCCCCTGCGTGATGCAGGTGCATGGCTTCATGGCAGCCTTCCTCTTCTCCATTGAGACACAGACTACCATCGGTTATGGGCTGCGCTGTGTGACGGAGGAGTGCCCAGTGGCCGTCTTCATGGTAGTGGCACAGTCCATCGTGGGCTGCATCATCGACTCCTTCATGATCGGTGCAATCATGGCCAAGATGGCCCGGCCCAAGAAGCGGGCGCAGACGCTGCTCTTCAGCCACAATGCCGTGGTGGCACTGCGTGATGGCAAGCTCTGCCTCATGTGGCGTGTGGGCAACCTGCGCAAGAGCCACATCGTGGAGGCCCATGTGAGGGCCCAGCTTATCAAGCCCAGGGTCACAGAGGAGGGCGAGTACATCCCACTGGACCAGATCGACATTGATGTCGGTTTCGACAAGGGCCTGGACCGCATCTTTCTGGTGTCACCCATCACCATCCTGCACGAGATCGACGAGGCCAGCCCGCTGTTTGGCATCAGCCGGCAAGACTTGGAGACGGACGACTTTGAGATTGTGGTCATCTTGGAGGGCATGGTGGAGGCCACGGCCATGACTACACAGGCCCGGAGCTCCTACCTGGCCAATGAGATCTTGTGGGGCCACCGCTTTGAGCCTGTGCTATTCGAGGAGAAGAACCAGTACAAAATCGACTACTCACACTTCCACAAGACCTACGAGGTACCCTCCACGCCCCGTTGCAGCGCCAAGGACCTGGTGGAGAACAAATTCCTGCTGCCTAGCGCCAACTCCTTCTGCTATGAGAATGAGTTGGCGTTTCTGAGTCGTGATGAGGAGGACGAGGTGGACGGAGACCAGGATGGCCGCAGCCCCCAGGCCAGGCATGACTTTGACAGACCCCAGGCCAGCAGCAGTGCCCTAGAGCAGCGGCCCTACAGACGGGAGTCGGAGATCTGAGCCACCATTGGCCAAGGTGCAGCATCCGCCCTGCCGGGGAGATACCTGGCAGGGGAGACGCCTGGCATGCCGAGAAGGCCGGGTTCAAGCAGAATGGGCACCCCAGGTGCAGACTCAGTAGCATTTTAGATGTTTTATGTTACTTCACAATGGCCTCAGAGGGTTGTTGGGAGAGTGGGTGGCTGGAGCCGGTCGTCCTTGGCCTGAGAGGCCAGAGCAGCACAGGGGCCTAGCCACAGGAGCCAGGGGTGTCTGCCTACTGATCTGCTGCCTGCCCAGAAATGGCTCTGGCATCGCCAGGCTTCTGGGCCAGCAGGTTGCAGTGCGTCTTGCTGGTTTTTAACTTGGGAAGAAACACCTGGTTTCGGCTTTCTCAACCTTAGCTTGAGTAAGACTGTTTACAAAAATAATAATAATAATAATATGTGATTGAAAATTTTTTAATTCATGGGGGTATTAGAATTTCATTGGTCTGGCAGGATGCAAGCAGTTGCATGGAGGCTCTAGAAGGTTCTGAGATGGGACCCTCCACTCAAAGTTGGCTGCTGGCCCGTGCCAGCTGGTATGGCCCCAGGGTGAGCACAGAGCTCCCTGTGGTTTTGTGCTCACAGGGCAAATTAGATTCCGTTTGTGATAGTAAAACCAAGACCATGTTAATGATCATAATAAAAGCTTTTCAGTGTCATTGGGGTAGGGGCAGGGGCTGGGGAAAAACTAATTTGAGCTTTTTGAATTTGACTTTGTATTTTAGAGATGCGTCTCAGGGCCAAATCGGGACCTGCCATGGGGGGCGGGGTCTACTCTCCCCCCACAACCTGGATTCTCCCGTTGTGCTTCTCTCTCCTTTTCCGGCCTCCACCCCTTCCACAGTGAGGGCCAGTTGGGAATCGTGGGAGTGATGGCCCCTGGGAAGGGGGACCAGGCTCCCAGGCGGTGAGGAAATGGATCGGCCCCATCCCTGCAGGGCTGAGCGAGAGTCGTGCCTTAGAGACCCCAGGGCTTGGCTCTACTTTTTGTTTTGTTTTTATTGACTTGCCTGGTTGGTCTTCCTTGCTGCCTCCAAATCCACCCGGGAGGCCCTACCAGCCCCTCTGTCTGTAGAGGTTGCTGACTTGGTACTCCCTCTGCACCTGGGCAGTAGAGGTAAGCCCAGGGGTGTCCTGCTGCTGAATGGCAGAGGAATGTGCTAGGAAAGGAGTGGCATTGTCAGCTGAGATGGCGGGGAGTGTCACTCATGCCAGGATCTCTGTTCAGAGAGAGGTCTGGGGGCCCCTTGTTCAACACCAGATCAGGAGCTGCCCAACAGAGGAGACAGCTGGTGGGGCCCCAGGACAGAGCCTAGTCCTTTTCCACACTGTCCTCCCTGGGGACCAGGCTGGTCTGAAAGCCAGTAGTGAAAGCGCCAGTGTCTGTCCATCCAGGGCACTCTAATTTGTGCCTCCAAGACAGTTCACAGCAGAAGGCATCAGAGACTCTGGCCCGAGTGGGGAAACTGAGGTGGAATGTAAGGTGATGTAATGAGTGGGTGGGTGAGGGAAGCAGGGAGAGAAAGGGGCCTGGGTGGGGGCTCTTGCCTCTGCCTACCTCTTCTGACCTCCATAGCAGTTGGAATTGGCCTCAGAGGGTCTGAACATCTGCTCACAATTCCCACCCAGGGACACCCAGGCCCAGCCCTGAAGTAAGCTGACTCTGGGCACCCTGCCCAGGCCGCAGGCCCCACCCAGTTTCTGGTGAGAAGCTTCAAGCCTGAGGCAGGTGGATATAGCTCTTTCATTGCAGGATCTGCTAGGGGAGGGGAGCTCAGCTCCTTCCTGGCCTAGCCCGCTGGCTTTCTCAACCTTAGCTCTGAGGGTGGGAGAGTGTGGAGTCCCTGTGGGAACGCTTATCCACCCACCCCCTCCAACCTGGACCCCTGTACCCTCAGGCTGAGCCAGGGAGGGACAAGGAGGCCCCATCACTTGGGGCCAGGTCTAGGGGCTGGTGCTCTGCTCTGCCCAGCGGCCTTCCAGGGCCTTTCAGGACCTTCCGGGGCCAAGTGGGCCTGCCATTCACACACTCCTACCCAGAGAACCCAAGGGCCCCACAGCCCCTGAGGCCCTGGCCATCTGGGTGACCTGGTCCCCCTCCCGGGCTCTTGCTGGACAGACCCTGCAGGAAAGCAGCCTCAAATGGCCTTTCATCTCTCCAAAGGCAGATGCTGCGTTTTCAAACTCTTCTGCCCTCTTTTTCCTCCCCTGTGTTTATTTATTTATTTACCTGTTTATTTATTTATTTATTGCTTTTGCTAACGACCAAAATAGTCTCCCCTTTAGTGCACGAGAGGGCGGATGGGAGGAACTGTGTGTGTGCAGAACGAGGATAGCACTGCCCCGGGACGGGTGCTTGCAGGGGGCGTGTGTGCCGCGTGTGTGCTCGTGTGTGGTGTGTAGCGAGCAGAGAGTGTGCTGAGCACAGGGGAGCAGAGAGTGTGTGCACGTGTGTGCATGTGGCATGTGGTAGGTGGGGAGTGTGTGCACTCGTGTATACTTCGTATGTTACGTGTGGTCTGCTACGCAGGCGGGCATTTCAGCCTGCTCCTGCCCTTGCCCTCTGGACAGCCCAACTCCTGAGAGGTTTCCTGCCAGCCTGAACCTGGTGGTGCAGAGGTGAGAGTTGGCCAATGAAGAGGCCTCAGGTGCCAGGTGCCCTCCATCCGGGACCCACTAGGATGGGGGTGCAATTCCTCTCCTTCTCCCAACACTTCCAGCAGGTGATGGCTGCACTGGCTCTGTGTGTGTGCCCAAGTGTGTGGATTCATTTGTGAATTGTCTTACCTGTGTGCGAGAGAAATATGCAGGTATGACATAGGTGCAGAGTGTGTAACCCTTCGGATGGGGGAGAGTTCTGCAGATGTGTGCACATGCTCTCCACTGGTATGTGAGTCTGCGCTGATTCTATATTTGTATGTAGGTGTGTGTGTATGCACACATGTGGTTATGTGTCTATTTACCAATAAGTGTGTTTGGGTGTGCGTTTTAGATGAGGGCGTTGGGTTACATGTTTATCAGGCCAGGCACACACCAGTCAGGATGGTCAGGGGTGCTGGACATCAGCACAGCTGAAGCCCATAGTCCCACCGACCTCTGCCTGGTCATGTCCAGTGGTCATGCCTGGAGTGTGTGCCGAGGTGAGGCCTTTGTGTATCTGTGTGTGGTTATATCTACATGTGCATGTGAGCATGCCACATCCAGAAGTGAGTGTTTGTACAGAGATTGTGTGTAGGGGGCCTTCCATGTTTGCTGTGTGCCTGGGGTGTGTTTGTGTGGCAGCACAGTGAGCAGGGCTGGAGGCGGTACAATGTGTGTTTGTGTGTGTGTGTGTGTGTGTGAGTCGCTGGTTGTATGCACGTGAATGTCAGAGGGGTGATGTGTACATGTGCATGCCTGTGCGTGCCACTCAGCACAGCGCCCCCACCCCACCCCCATGCCCTGCTGGTGCTGTGCCACCATGTCCCTGCCTCCCCGCGGGTCCTGTGGGGGCAGGGGGCCTGGTGGGAGGGAGCCCCTGCACAGGGGTGTCTGCCCTGTGTGAGGTCATAGAATGTCTAATCTATTTTAAATGGTGAAACTGGAGAATTTTCATGTTATTTTCAATACATAGTGATATCTGAAGACATAGGCCATGAGACTAGACCACATTAAATGCATTTTGATCTCTTTGAGCGCTGCTGTGTGGAGATGTGTTTGAAAGTCCCTGCCGTGCACACTGGTGGTCTCTGCCCCCTTCACCCCCTGTGTGCTGGGGCGGTGGGAAGGTGGGGGGCATGGCGCCAGCTCAGGGTAGGGGGATGGAACACAGCCTCCAGCCACCACACCTGCCCTCTTCCCATATGACCACACACCCCCTCCCCACAGCCCCTGAGTGTGCAGGGCCATCCTGGACACTGGATGTCACACCAGCTGGGTGACCTCGGGCAATAGCGGTGTCCTCCCTGGGCCTGCGATTCCCCATCTGCCCTTCCTCCTGCAAAGGTCTGGCAGAACCTCCACATGCAGGTGAGTGCTGAGCATGAGACAAGTGCTCTCTTCTGGGACTCATGGTGGGGAGGCCCCAGGGAGAGGGCAGGCAGGAGAGAAAGCTGGGTGTGAGGGGTGCAGAAGACCCCTACTCCAGTCTGAACTGAGGCTGGGGCTTGAGGGGACAGAGGGCAGGGGAAGATCTACACTGGGGGACAGGAGGCTTTCTTCTGCACCAAGGGCCTCAGTGGCTTCTGGCGGAGGCCCACAGGGAGAGAAGTCTGTCCTTTGTCCAAACTTTCCACAAGTGGAGGACTCCTCTGCGTCAGCTAAGGCCTCCATGGACACTCAGGTTGTGAGATTCAGATGATTCCAGATGACGGGACAAGAAGGCTTGATCTGGGGCCCCTCCTCTCCTCTGACTCAGGAGCCCCCCTGGAGCCCCAATACCAGAATCTAAGCTGACTGGGGCCAGAGTGCTGTGACCTCCCCCCTACACCTCCAAGCATGAAGCACCAAGTTCCCGGAGACAGACAGGAACACCCCCTCTTTCTATTCCCCCTGCCATGGTGATGACCTGGTCCCAGTTGACACTTGATACTCTGATTGTGCAGACTTTTTGGCACCTGAGCTCAGAAGCATCGAGATTCCTCCATTTTGGCTATGACCCCGGGTCAGATGCCAGACTTCTCCTTTGCTCGGTGACATGGAGTGAATTCCTTTTTCTCTTGGCCTCAGTAAAAATGGAGTATTCACAATAATGGCCAGCTGGCAGACTTGTTGAAAACAACGAAGAAAAAGAGAACATTTACACAGCAAACACTTTACATGTGTGCTCTCTACAAGTCCGGTGCACGTGGAAGGAGGATGTGACCAGCTCAAGTCTGCAGTGTGAGGTGGGCGGGAGTGGGGGGTTGGTGGGACACAGACTAGACCTGACACCAGGTCTATGTGTGGCAAAGTCCACTGACTTCCCCTTCAATTCACTCTTTCTAGTACTTTCCCTATCTCAGGACCTTTTCACATGCTATTCTCATTCACTGGACACTTTACCACTGGATCTGCCTCTTCCTCCTGGTCTAGACCTTCATGACTGAGAAGAATCCAAGTCAGAAGCTGTTTTAAGACAAGTTGAACAGAGGTGGGGGTGGGTTATTTGTTGGTAAGTGTTTATTAACTAGAGATTTGGGGACTGTAAGGTGCAGGGTTTATCCTGGGGACCCCTCAGCTATGCAGCCTAAAGGAGGCTATCTTAGAAGTGAGGGATATTAAGAGACTTGCCCAAGGGCACAGGAAGGGTAGCTATCCCAGCAGGGTCTGAGTCCCCAGAGAAGCCTTCCTCTGAGAAGCCTTCCTGACACCACTGCTCCTTCACCACTGCTCACTGAGCTGTCCTGGGGCCTCTGGGAAAGATCATGTGACTCTGATGACACCACTCTCCCAGGGGCTCTCTTCTACCTGCCAGTGGCCAGAGTTTGAACTGGAGTCTTGACCAGTGGGAGAATGGACCAAAGGGACCTTCCCTGCACTCACTCCCAGTTTATCCACCTCCTGCAGAGGAGGGTCCATTACTCCAGAGGGAATCAGAATAGGGCTTTAGTGCCAGGGATGAGATTTTGCTGCCCTTTTGCTTCCTGGGAGCACTGGGGGGTCTCCAAGGACAACCCCATCCCATTAAGCCCA